TTGCATCTCGAAAACAAATGAAGCAAAAAACACTTTTTTGATGAATAATGAGAGTAAACTTCTTGTACCCCTATACCTAATTTCAGGTAAGTTGTACAAGTGGTTCTCAAGATATTTGACCGTTTCCATTTTACGATTCTAGCGACCCTATATATGTAAAATCAATAGTTCCGAAAGATTTGTTTCATATAAAATATAATTGATATACGAATTTTGCTCTTCCAGTTTTTCAAAATAAACAGAAAAAATGGAGCAATTTTCTTTTCGTTATTATATAAATTACAGACTAAGTATTGATTAATGCAGTGTTACGATAAACAGAACTTTCAAAATTAATACGGGTGATTTTAAAAGGTAAAAAATCTGAAAAGAAAATGCAACAAATTTAAGAATGCTACCTTATTATTAGCATTTCTTGCCGGCGACGAGTAGTCAATAATCATCACCATCACAATAAAGCGGCAAAATTCACAAGATTTTTAAGTCAACTGTATGCGAGATATTTTATAATAATTATCTTTTCTGTATTTTATTTCCATTTGCTAAACATTCATGTAAGTAATGAGACATGGAATTTTAATAACACAGAAATAAAAATTGAGCCATGCACTGGATTTTCAATGCTAGACCTCCTAAGTCTGGGTTCCCAATTGTAAAAAAATTGACGACTATCTGAAAATTTTGTCAAGTAAATCCTACCTAAAATGTGCAAAATATGATGAACTGTATTTGTGATTTATCACTCCTTTCATATTTTACAGAATTGCTGATACAGGTGACGCCAAAAATTATTAATAAATGAATCAATTTATTTTATTCATAAAATTAGGAACTGATTATCCCCTTCAAAAAATTGACATCTCAAAATTTTGTGGAAAATATGATGAGTCAATATTTGTGTTTTATCATTGCATTCATATTTTTTAGAGTTAGTTATACAGGTAACTCGAAAATATTAACGAATGAGTCAGTTTATTTTATTGATTAAACCAGGAACGGCTTACCCTATTTTCGCAAAAATTTGGGAATATAATACTTGTATTATTAGTCTTAATTTACATCTAACCAGCTTGCTATATGCATATGTCCTTGCAAAGATGTTGATGATGTCATCACATAATTTTATAAAGGAAAAACTCATTTGAGACATACGCACGTCACGCTTCTCTACATTCATGTTGATATTACATACATATCTTTATTTTAAATTTATAGGGGTTTTCATAAAAAAGTAGAATTCCCAATATCAAATTTAATAATTTTTGGGAAAAGTCGGATGTTTGATTGTACTTCAGGGGAGAAGGGAATTTCTACTGAAAGATTATTTTGTTACACGTGTTTTTTACGTCACATGCTGAAGTTAGTTTCTGCATAATTAACGATTGCTGACGGAATTTTAAAGCTGTTTTCTTGTCAAAAAATTTCTAGTTTGATATGTCACTGCTAATATTTGGCTATAGAATTTCTTTCAGAATTATAAAGTTTACAAGGACTGGTTTTTGTGTGGTGCGAAATATTTTAAATTTTATTTCCTATTCGGGTGTTTTCCCATGGTAGGTCCATTAGGTATGTGGACTAGCTGTACTAATTAACAATACTGCTAACAATTTTTCTATGATCTACAACATTTCGTTTAACCTTTTGACTTTTAGAACATGAATTTCCCGTTATTTTATTCTGTGTTATCCAGATGGATACTTTTAAATTTTTAATAAGTTCTCCAATGGAACGGGAAATACGTATATATTTCTGGACAAAAACTGCAGGTTATTTGATAAGTGAAATTTTTCTTTTTACCAATATCATTAATGTAAACACAGAACTGTTATAGTCCTAGTACGGACCCCTGAGCACACTCTATATAAATCATGAAGAAAAGTTCAAAAAACATGTAATAATACCTAGTAATTACTCTCGTCTCTTCATGTCAGATGTGACATTTTTTTAATGAGTCTTATGATAATGGACGAAAAAATGGACACAAGAGACGAAAAGATGACACAATAACCAGCAGAAATTAAAGAACAAATGAAGGACGTAGAAACAAATTTAGAAATTATGAAAAATCGAATGAATAAATTCGAAAATATATAAAAAATGACTAGTAAAACAAAACCCTAGAAGAAGTTTTCTGGAAGCTCTAGCAGAACAGCGAAGTGGAGCCATAGAGTTCAAATCGAGTCATATCACTCATATCTTGAGTACGGTGAGCACGCTACAGGAGAATTATTGTTCATTATTATCTCTGTACAGTTAGTACTTTGGTGTATTCAATAAATAAGTCGTTGAGTTTTACTCCCGCCAATTTAATTCCCGTAAATCGTAACACTATCATATATAGGGCTGGTACAAATATCTTCGTTAAGTCCACAAGTCGGATGATAATAATTAAGATCACAAGGAAAATATTTGCACTTTATTTTACTAGCCCAGAAATGGAAAATTCTGTTGTCCTGTGTAATATAAATATAATGTAAGTATATGTATATCACATGTATATCTCGAACTCACTGGAAGCTTTAAATGAAAGAAAACCATTAACAATTTTTTTGTGGTTTTTACATCAAAGTCATTATTGTTTATCCAAACCATTAATTACCTTAATAATGTTGCTTCATTTATACAAGAATGTACTTCCTCAAATAAAAGGAAATTTTTATTTCAAACTTAAGGTTTCCGTTGACTCTTTTATGAGATTTTGATTTATAACAAGCTTGTTAACTTAATAAAGTGTTAAAATTCAACAGATTTATTTTCCAAAATCATATTTTAAAGCGTCGCAAAAAATTAACAAGGTTTTCATTTTTAATTTGTTTCCACTAAACTGACCCTAATTGGTGCCAAAATACGTTCTACTACAAATATTCCTTAATCCATTTCATTTTTGCCACCATTTTAAAGAAATTTGTTCACTGTATGAAAGATTCTAGAACCATTATCTCTCAAATTAATCATTAATCACGAGAGCTGTATCAGGCAAACCCATTTAACACCTTGAACGGTGATATACAAATAACTGTAATTTATAAAAATGCAAAATTGCAGCATGAAATCCATGCAACGTATAATTTTTAAGCGAACTTTACAAATTTATTATACTAGACGTGGTATTATGCCAAGTTTAGCGCCGTTGCTTACGGCAATTTATGTGTTTGTAGAAGTTGCACGCCTTGGGTGAGGAAAAATGGGTGAAATTGCCTTCACACAGTCGCTAATAACAATAATAGCGAAATAGACCAAACACCGATAAGAACGTGAATTATTCACAAAAACTGCTAAAGGTTTGTTAAAAATCTATGATTATCGACATTATTCATTTTATAGAGTGCTGATATAGTTTTTTTGAAAAACTGTCTGACGGGTCAGTCAAAAATTAATGAATTTATCATGTCGAAATTATTTTCGGTTCGGTGGAGCGATCGAAGACTAATCAACGAAAATAGCAACTGTAAAGCAATTTAGAAAGTTACAGTATTAATTTTCAATTGAAGTGCCTATTGGTTTCAGTAACTACTTTATGAACATCGGTGTTTACTCTATTATTACGTATTTTAATTAGAATTCGAAATATTTGTAACACCAACTACCAAATCTGTTGTTTCATATTATTTGTTGATTTATCGATGAGCGAGCTTTTAGAATGGTAAAAATGTGGTGAGCTTACAAGATGTTCCTGCTTTATAGACGTGGCACAAAATCATATTTTGTGGGTTTTTAATAAGTGCAAGAAAAAAAATATTTTTTTATAAAACTCGTTTGAAAATTTTAAAAGACTGCCCAGGATCATTTAAATTTTTAGTATTATAAGATGCGAGTAATTTTAAACTTTATTACGGCACAAAATGAGATTTTGAGCAGTAAGTATCTCATACAAACAGAGTCAGTTCCTGGCTTGAGGATCCATTTAGGCCAAAAATCCAATTTTATTATATTACCGTCTGTTTCGTGTCAGATACAACAATAATGCTAAAAATTCGTTTAAAAATACCGAGATCTCGGCGCTTCATCCGAATTTTCTTTTCCAAGAACTTTGAAAAAAGACCAAAACGTATGCAACGCATTTCATGCCTGTATTTCATTCTTTATGGTCCGTAATCGATTGATCTGGCACGTTCTTCGATAAAAGCAACGAAACTTCGTGCTCCAACATTATCATATTTAATGGTTTGTGCACCAAAATGCAACAAGGTAGTTCATAAATTCACTCTTCAATTTTCAAGCTCAAAACCAACAAGTGTGTTTTGTTGAAAAAGAATACTTTTATGCACAGTAAATCGTTCAGGGTTTGCTTTTTCAGATTTTATGTTCGGCCATAAACGCTGAAAGTTACTTCGCGATATTATTTCAAGATTGTCAGCTACAGTGGCTGTTAACAAGGCAGAAAACAGGACCGCATCCGTCAGGTGTTCATCAGGAACAACTATCAAGGTCTCGCTTCCCCTTGCAGAAAGGGGAAGCAACCCTTGTCGACACGATCTGCCTTATAGAAGGAAATGCGAATAATCAGGTAGATGTAACTACTGTTTGTTATCTAAACAAGGTTGCAGCTAGTACGGCAAATAACAGTCAATATGTGCTAATGTAGTCATAATAAATCAAAGATTTTATCCATTTGCATGAGCAAAAAGTCATCATTGTGCAATAAACTAATGCGAATGGATTAAATAGCGAGATATCAAGGATCGTTTACTGTTATGCGCTGGTAGAACTGCACCTTGCACCGGAAAATAAACTCTACTGTTTAGAATCATTCTCGTTTTCAGTTAGAAACAAATAAATATTTCATGCCGCATTGTGCAACGCATAAATAATAAACATGATATTGCTATCGTAGTACTGAATAAAGTTGTCAGGACGATTTAAATTATTCTGTAATTGTTATTTTCCGTGCTACGGTCACAATTTTGCAATAAATGCAGCGTGCATTATTAATTTATGCTGGACGTGGTACTTCAACAAGTTTCTCATTTATGTCGTTCAGTTAAACTACTCACATGGTTATTGCAGCGGAACACGTCAGTTCTTACGATATGGGTTTTGGAGGAGATCCAGGAGAGTAATCATCTGAAACAGAAAGGATAATGAGGATATGAGAACGATGTGAACATTTTGCGGAGGTAATAAAAATTCTGGATTTAACTGATACTCGAATAAGCAAATTTTTCCTTTTCTTACATCAATTTGTTCTTTTCCGTTGTCGGAATTTAGCGATATCCAGGACGCATTTATTATTTCGGAGATATGGCAGAGAGTATATAGCATATTGTATATAAATTTGTGTAGAACAACGCATAAAAATATTTTTTGGTGATAATTTTGTGCACTTTTTTAGGTGCCTTAGTAGACCAAGGGCCGATTTCATAATCAAGTTAAAGGAGCTTTAAAATCAGAGGTGGACTTTGATCATGGAAACACATTGTTGAGACAATGGTTTAAAGCTCCCATTAGTTAAAGGTCTTTTATGTTTTGATTATGAAACTAGCCCTTACACATTTAATAATATTAATTATATTCGAGTCGAATTTATAATCTTTTTACTTTTCGAGCGTAGCTAAGGAAGTATTGTAATCGAGTCCATCGCGCGACTGGCTACTTTTATGTTGTCTCGAGGTTTTATAACCCCTATAGTACGAAAAAATACGTCTCCCGTTGCCGTCTATCTGTCTGTCTGCCGTCTGTCGGGATATTTATTAGATAGATACTCCGAAACCACTAGACGGATCATTGTAAAATTTTATATCTGCATTAGGATAATCGTGCAGATGGTAAAGTGCTAACCAAAATTTGGCTAATCATCTCCACCAATAACAGGATGACGTTATGTCTAAAATTTACATTAGCAAATGTTATTTAAATTTTATAAAATAAGATACTCCTGCATTTGTAGTATATGAATCCGTCTTGAATGTTTACCCTAGAGATCCAGATTTTGGAAAAAAAAATCAAAATTGTATAACAACATTCTCCAATTTAACTTTGAAACTGATGATAATCGTTAATCAAAATTTATTCGTTCCTCAATTTTCCGATTATCGTTTGATCGATACTTGAGTTTTGGGATTTATAAATTTTTCGATTCGTCAGATCTTTGATATTTTAATTTTTTGATTTTTCGACTCCTTGGTTTCGTTTTTCGAATTTTATTTACATTTCTCGTTTTTTAAAGTTTTCGGTGTTTATATTTTTCAATTTTTTAGTTTTATTAATTTTTCGCTTCTTCGATTTACTAAGATTTCATGTTTTCGATTACCTATTCAATTTTTCAGTTTTTCATTTTCTTAATTTTTCGATGTTTCGATTTTTTTTAATTTAAATTTTTCAGTTTTTCATATTTTAATTTTGGGCCGTTTCGGTTTTGGGCTATTTCAATTTCATGATTTTTACATTTTTGGATTTTTCAGTTTTTCGGGTTATCGATCGACGAATTTTTCGATATGAGTTTTGGGATTTGATAATTTTTTGAGTCTTCAATTTTTGGATATTTTAATTTCTTGATTTCTTAAATTTTAGATATTTCGATTTCTCGATTTCTCGTTTTTTGCTATTTATCAGTTTTTCGCTTTTTGAATTCTACATTTTTAGATTTTCAGATTTTTCGGTTACAAAATTTTCGATTTTTTAGTTCTATCAATTTTTAATTTTTCAGTTTTTCGATTTTTTAATTTAAATTTTTCAATTTTTCAAATTGTAACTTTTCGATTTAAGGGCATTTCGATTTTGGGCTATTTCAAATTACTGATTTTTACATTTTAATTCAAATTTCGGTTTATCGACTGTTCGATTTCCCGATATTTTGAGGTTTCGATTTTCCAATGTGTCAATTTTCCAATTGTTAGATGTTTCGATTTTTCGATTTTCCAGTTTTTTTAAGTTTCAATTTTTCAACTTTGCGACTTTTCGATTTTTCTACATTTCAGTTTTGGGATGTTTCATTCTCTCGACTTTTCAATTTTTCGCTTCTGCAATTTTTCGGTTTCTTTTAAATTTTGGAATTTTCGATTTGTTGTTTTTAGATTTTTCAGTTTTTAGATTTTTCAATTTTACGTTTATTTATGTTTTATCTTTTTCGATTTTTCAATTTTTCAATTTTTCAATTTTTTAATTTTTTAATTTTTTAATTTTTTAATTTTTCAAGTTTTCATTTTTTCGAATTTTCCATTTCTCGACTTCAATTTTGGGAATGTTTCCATTTCTGGATCCAATGTTTCCATATTTTCATTTTAGATTTTTCGGTTTGTCGCTTTCTAGACTTTTCGATTTCTCCACTTCTGGATCTTTTGATGTTTCGATTTCGCGATGTTTCAATTTTTCGATTTTTCGATTTTTCAACTTTTCTATTTGTCGACTTGTCGATTTTTTATTTGTTTCCTTTTCGATTTCTCGAATTTTCAATTTTCCCGTTCTTCCGTTTTTAGACTTTGTAATTATTTTACCTTTCGATATTTTGATTTCTCGAGTTATCAATTTTCGATACTCTAATTTTACATCTCCCTACTTTTCGAGTTTTCGATTTTTGATATTCCGAGTTTTCGATTTTTCAATTTTTACATTCTTTAACTTCTAGGGTTTTCAATTTTTTCACTTTTTGATTTCTCAAATTTTCAGTTCCATTCTTCAGTTTATTCAAGTTTTCTTTTAATTTATTTAATTTAATTTTTTTTTTTTTCGACTTTTCGATTTTAGAATTTTCGATTTTTCGACTTTTGATATTTCATTTTTTCTGTATATACTTCAGTTCTTAGATTTTTCGATATTCCTCGATTTTTGGAATTTTGATTTTCCGAATTTTCGATTTTTACATTTTTCAATTTTTAGAGTTTTCAATTTTCTCACATGTTGATTTCTCAAAGTTTCAATTCCATTCTTGAGTTTTTCAAGTTTTCCATTTTTTGACTTTTCGATTTTTCAACTTTTGATAGTGCGTCTTTCTATACTTCAATTCTTGTATTTTTCGAATTTTGATTTTTCTGTTTCTCGGTCTTGGATTTGTAGATTTTCGAGTTTTGGGTTTTCCGATTTTTCGAATATTCGTTTTTTCGAATATTTGATCCATGGAATTTTCGATTTTTCGATAGTCGAATTTTTAATTTGTTTCCTTTTCGATTTCTCGATTTTTCAATTTTCCTATTCTTCAGTTTTCAACTTTCCAATTATTATTATACTTTTTGATATTTTGATTTCTCGACTTACCGATTTTCGATACTCGAATTTTAATTCTCCCTACATTTCGATTTTTCAATTTTTGATTTTCTGAGGTTTGGATGTTTCAATTTTTACATTCTTTAGCTTTTAAGGTTTTCAATTTTTTCACTTTTCGATTTCTCAAATTTTCAGTTCAATTCTTCAGTTTATTCAAGTTTTCTATTCGTCGACTTTGCAATTTTATAATTTTTGATTTTTCGACTTTTGATATTGCGTTTTTTCTGTATATACTTCAATTCTTGGATTTTTCGATATTCCTCGATTTTCGAATTTTAATTTTTCGGTTTCTCGATTTTTGTTTTGTAGATTTTCGAGTTTTGGGTTTTCCGATTTCTCTAATTTTCGTTTTTTCGAATATTTGATTCATTGAATTTTCGATTTTTCGATGTTTGAATTTTTAATTTGTTTCTTTTCAATTTCTCAATTTTTCAGTTTTTCCATTTTTTAGTTTTTAGACTTTTTCAATTATTTTACTTTCCGAATTTTTGATTTCTCGAGTTTTCGATTTTCCATACTCGATTTTAAAACCTTTCCCCGTTTTGATTTTTTGATTTTGGATATTCCAAATTTTCGATTTTTCAATTTTTACATTCTTCAGTTTTTCGATCTTTCAATTTTATTACTTTCAGATTTTTTGATTTCTCGATTTTCCGTTCTTTGGATTTTTTATTTTTTGACTTTCCTAAGATTTTTCATGTTTTTGATTTTGGAACTATCGATATTTCGGAGTTGTTATTTACGCTATTGGTTGTTACTTTGGAAAAAACAAAAATCGCAAAATCATAGTTTATAACAAGTGGAATTTATTAAGCTTTACTTCAAGGGCGAGGAAAGTTGTGCCGAAATTAACCTCCTACCAATTTTTTCAAGTTGATTCAACATTCGACTGAAGTTTAAAAAACGAATCGAAAAATTAATTAATTATGAGCTAAAATGTGTTGATGTACATCTGATTCATAGAACCCTTGTTCTTTATAGGCAAAATTAAAGAGGAGCTCAGGGCTGTAAATTATCATTACTATAGTCCTAAACGGTTTATTGGTGGCTCTCAGTAAATAAAAGTCAATGTTGACTATTTGGCGGACTCAACTTTACAATTAATTCAATTTCAAAGAATGGTGTAATAAGGGTGAATTTTCTCTGATATTAACTGGATACCTTCATCACGTACTATGTTTACCACTTGTAGGTAAGTAAGACGTCATCATTTTTACTATGTGCTATCAGTCTATTTAAATTAACATTAATAATTTCTTAAACGCTATCCATGATCAGTTAATTATAAAAATGTAGCGTCATCCATTCCAAATTTGGTAAATTAATTGGAAAGTCAAGAGAAATTAGTTTACTCATGGGGTTATTGGTTACTTTAACGTCTGCATTAGTCCAGGTTGCACACGTATCATGAAAAAACATGAACCACCTAAACCTCATCTCTTACTCCCACAAAATTACTAAAATTCTGTTATTTAGATAAACAAACCTGCTTTAGGTGTGGGCGGAATACCAAAAAAATTCAATTTAGATTAATTGTTTTTCTCTCCAAATTCTTTATTATTTCTGCCTGCTAAGGAACCTGATTTGTTTTCACTGCTGTTTAACCTTCTATCAAAAACCACAAGAAAAATATATTTAAACAATATCTACATAGAAATTACACCTAATTATTATGGATCTGAATTTCAATGAAGCTTCGTATCTCGATCAAAATATTTTTGCTGTGGGTGGCTGCTTAATGGATGATGTTTTTGCATAACGTTGCGAAAGCAAGATTTTCCCTTAACAAGTCCTCGTTGAAAAAAAAACACGACTTTTATGAATATTAGAGACACACCCAATTTGTGCTTTCGACGACGGCGTGT